ATGTCGCCTTAATTCTGAGCGGGTTCCAGGCGATTTCTGTCGAAGCCTTAGGCAATGGAGTGGCTGCGCCGGTTACCTCAGAAAATTTCATGGGGTTTCACGATGTCCGATAACGGAGATTGCGTAATAGAGATCGTCTAGCGGGGTTGCTGGTCGAGACCGAACCTCGCTGACTTTCTGACAAAGATCGTGCCTCGTCCTCTGTTATGGGAATTCCAGATGGAAGAGATAAGAGTACAAGGGACAGGTTTCTGGAAAATATAGATATCGACTGCGTGTATGGAGTATGTATTGAGATGTTACCACTTTTTACATTTCTCTATGATAAGAGAATCGTTAAACAAAAATGTATAGGCAACTACCACGATGCATGATCATAAAAAAAAACAAAAAAAAAAAAAAAAAAAAGAAAAAGAACAGAATAGAAGAGATATAGAAGAATATTTAATTTAGATATTTAGTTAGCAAGTTACTTACACGAACAGGTAGATGCTCATCCTTTAGGATATCTAGGATCGGATAGAATTATCAGACAGGATTTCATTAAATAAGTTCGTCATAGCTACGAATTCTTTAATTACATGAATTAAGTCTAACGTGTGAAAGTTGACAAAGTGAATTCCCAAAATTGTTCAAAGAAGGAGGTACGTGAGAAAGCGGAGTGCTGAGATTTCTAGACGTAAAACTAGATTTCATTGGACACGCTGCATAGATCAAGGATATTTTCATTTTTCATCAACCACCAGTTGCCTGTTCTCGGTTGGCCATTCCTCGCCAAGTTATACGTTTTGCTGCATGACTTAAAATCTGGTTAGACGTTGTTCCAGCTATATATTTTTGCTTTAATGACGGCAACGATCTCCGAGAATCGCGACGAAGGACGACGAAACAAGATTTTGCTTCGAGAGCTAAATATAAAATATACATTTTTAGAAATCAACGAAAATTGACTGAAAAATTGCGCGAATCGACCGTTTAACTCGAATACGTTCAAACTTCAGCAAGCTAATTAATCTGTCAAGTTACTGTTTATCGGTTTAGATAGAATTAGAAGACGATCTGTAGTCGGAATATTTGTATGAAATTTTTATTTGTCGTAATGGCCATAAAAAAATTATAGATAAATATTTGTGGCTGTTAAATAATTTCAGAACGAAGAGTTTACAAAAATTATATTAATCGAGGAATAGCATCAAGTACGAAGTGTGCTATCACAAGTTGAAAAACGGAATTGGAATCATACTTCTACTGGAAGAGGATAGTAGACGCATCCGAGTTAATTGTTTGGAAATAATTTCTATCATACTTAGGAAGAGAAGAAGATACGATATGAAAAAGGAAAATTGCGAGACGTACTCGGGAGGAACGTGAAATTTCATGCGCAATTTCATACGCGAAAGAAAACAGAGTAAACAGAAAATCGTATTACCAAGTAAAATGATTTCGAAACGGAATAACGTTCTCTATTGAGATGCGGAAATACCGTACAAATAACCGGGATGTTTGCATAGGATGGGGACACCGGGCGAAATTCATCTTTTCAGATGTTTCCCGGTACACCGATAGTCGTGGTCGAGAGGAATGAATTAAAAAAGAGGCGAAACCAGAGAAAGAAACAGAGAAAGAGAGAGAGAAGGTAGAAAGTTGTGGGAAGAAGACAACGAATGTCGTCTATGCAAGTCTTGCAGTGATGAACTGAGTTCACGTTATATTACATAGAGATCGTAACAAAATAATGAAAATGTTGTTCGTTTCGTAACATTGTAAATCCTATGTATGTATAATGTATGCGTAGGCAGCACAATGAACAGTTTTTTGATAAATTAGGGAACTTAAATCGAGTAAAATTGATAGTACGTTTCTTCGCTACGAATCGCTACAAATATCTCGCTAATTGTACAAAACTAGAAAATACTCAGAACTAAATGTCCACCGCTATATTTCACCGGAAGCGTTTTGCCGATTTTACGAATAAAAAGCTCAGAATTAAATGGTCACCGTGGCAATAGAATATTTCTGCTACGAATCGAACCTAAACATCGTCCAACGAAATTAGAAATTCAGTTGCTCCCAAATCACGAGCCAGTAAAAATTGAAGAACCAAGAAAAATCGAGGAAGACAAATTAAACAAAGGAACAGAAATGGATTGTCGATTCGAACATTGGGTGATAAATTTTCGAAATTTGGAAGCTTCCCGAGCAACCAATTTCTTTCGCTCGTGGAGTGCGTATTGTTAGCACCTAGAAGCGCGTCGTGTCTTTGCGAAGGAGACGGAGAAAGATCATCGACGTTGAGCATCGTACGCGAAGGTGGGTGCAGATAAGCAGAGAAGGGACACAGGCTGGGGAACGAGGAGTCGAGGGAGAGAAGAAAAACGAAAAGCAGGAAGAGACGAGGGTACCGTAGTGAGAGGCGGAGGATCCTGACCATACGGAGGAGGGCAGAGTGCGTTTGACCGTCCGCTGGACGAGGAGGAAGCGACCCGAGGATGATAAGAAAAAGAAAAGGATCGGAGGTGAACAAAAGGTGGCGGTCAGAGAGGTGAGCAAGTGCATCATATCCGGGAGAGAAGGTACGAAATAAATTCGGCAACGATGCTTGCTTATTGATGAAGAAAATTCAGCAAGGTATAAGGCTCGTGCGTCTTAAGAATTTGATAGATCAATATCATTCGTTAAATTTTGATATATCGTTAATTAACAATCGCATTAAAGAATATACCTGGTATAAAATACGTATATTGAATGCGAGGAAGATTTAAAACGAAGATATTAAATACCTTTATTAAATATATACCTTGTTATTTGCCATAATGAATAACTGGAATATTTCTATCACTTTTCTAATTGAGTTGAAATTTTGGAATAAGTGCTATGAAAGTTGACGGAAACGTAAACTTGACATTTGCGACAGATTAAGAACATCTTTTAGTCCATCCAGGAAATTTTTTAATGTACGAATTATTTCAAAAGAAATGGTAAACGTAGAGACCATGGTAGCTTCCAAAAGAATATGGCTAATTCGTGGCATACGAGACGACCTTTATATTATCCATATTTTATCAGAACTTAAGCCTACATAGAGAAGCAGCGCTAAAGTGGTTAATTAGAAGAAAATGACAATTTAACGTGTGTTAATTTTCTGATTTTATTCGTTTAATGAAGTACCAACTTCCGGCAACAATCGTGAGTCCATGTGACACTGAACCTGTTAAGAGTCACGCTTGAATAAACTATCTTGTCATAAGCTCTCTCTCTCTCTCTCTTTCTCTGTCTCTGTTTAATCAATTTTATCTTTCAAATATCGTTTTCTCTAAAGCGAAAAATCCCAACTTTCTCCTGTAAGCTCGGTAACTTGAATTGATCAGGCTTGAAATAGAACCGTGTGGTTCACATCGGGATACAAGGTTGATGTAAAATGAAGGTCGCGAAACACGAGTTCCCAGGGAAAATGAATTACAGTAAAGTTTTATTCAGTCTAATACGTCCTCCATTAACGTCATGTACTTCAATGGTAGATTAATAATGAAATAAATGAACATACAATCGACGTGTTCGATGTTCGTTTACGCAAAAGCAAATCTCAGACAGTTATCATTTCTAAGGAAAGTATATCGTCGCATATTGTCAGAAAGTACAAGTAGCAAAACACGATTTGTGGCGAAAGTTCTGTTCCAGATATTAATTCGCTAGACGTTAGTCGTGTTACCTGAATTCCATTACTCTAAAGCAATTTACTAGTGCAAACCTGTTGGTCACGTGACTTGAAATGTTATTCTTTCAATTTTCCACGCTTCTCCTCGGTAGTCAAGTTCACTTAACGCATTGTCGATTGATCACAAGTAGACTCGTGTATTCGTGTACAAAATGCAAAACAAAACGATGACCGGCCACGAGCGAGCTCGTGTTTTCACGGATGAAGTTAAATCGTTAGTTTTTTTTCATAAAATAGCCGGTGGCGCGCGTTAGATTTTGCATAAGATAGCCGGCGGCACGTGTTAGTTTCCGCACGAACCAGCAACGTTGTTAACCCTCGGCCACTCGAATACAGTAACTTGGCTGGTACAGACGAAGCTTTAGAACCACGAGGAAGAAAGCGCTAGGCCGATCCAAACGGAGAAGATTCCCAAAGGAGCCAACTTGAGAACACGAAGAACTGAAAAAATTGACACGCTACTCAAGTCCAAAACGCTAATTACTCGAAGCTCGGCAAAAAGCGTATTCACGGATGGAGAAAAAGGGTACGTACAGAAAGAAGAAGAAAAAAATTCGAAGAGGCGATTCTGAGAGGAGATCAGAAAAGAAGAAATGGAACGGCGGATCGTTCCTTGGGATACACGCGGACAAGGAAGAAAGGAGTCTGTACAGAAACTCCTTGGTCTGAGAGGAAACGAGTATCTTGGTTCAACGGATGAAGAAGAAGAAGAAGAAGAAGAAGAAGAAGAAGAAGAAGAAGAAGAAGAAGAAGAAGAAGAAGAAGAAGAAGAAGAAGAAGAAGAAGAAGAAGAAGAAGAAGAAGAAGAAGAAGAAGAAGAAGAAGAAGAAGAAGAAGAAGAAGAAGAAGAAGAAGAAGAAGAAGAAGAAGAAGAAGAAGAAGAAGAAGAAGAAGAAGAAGAAGAAGAAGAAGAAGAAGAAGAAGAAGAAGAAGAAGAAGAAGAAGAAGAAGAAGAAGAAGAAGAAGAAGAAGAAGAAGAAGAAGAAGAAGAAGAAGAAGAAGAAGAAGAAGAAGAAGAAGAAGAAGAAGAAGAAGAAGAAGAAGAAGAAGAAGAAGAAGAAGAAGAAGAAGAAGAAGAAGAAGAAGAAGAAGAAGAAGAAGAAGAAGAAGAAGAAGAAGAAGAAGAAGAAGAAGAAGAAGAAGAAGAAGAAGAAGAAGAAGAAGAAGAAGAAGAAGAAGAAGAGAAGGAAGAACAAGAGGAAAGAAGAGAGCCAAGGTAAAAGGGAGACGTGCGAGAGAGGCGAGGGGACGAGGTCTGGGTTGGGTAAGGTGAGGGCTTCTACGGGTGAGTACCACTCACTTCATTGACTCGTGCGTACGCCCGCACGTCTGTCAGTCCATCCTCACTCACTCGATCCTCGCCTGGTCTCTTAGCCGCTCTACAGAGGCCAGTTCTCTCCTCCTTCGAGAGTTGCACGCTTATCTCATCCACGTCCTCGTCCTCGTCGTGGTATACGACTTCAGGTAAAGTCGAGGTCGATCAGTAGTCCAGTCAATAACGTGCTTCCCTACGTTTGCTCGGTTTCGATCGATCCACATCGAATCGTAGTATCGTGGAAATCGTTGGAAAGTCTACTTTCGTGGGTGGATGTCGACTAGCAGAAAGAACAGGATGAGCCTGGCCAGCCTGGGAGCAATCCTCGCCTTCCTGCTGCTTTTCATGCTTCACACCTCATGGGCCAGGGCCAAACCTCAGCAAATCAAACCTGGTGAGTAGTTTCTATTATCCGTTTTCTTTTTTTTTCTAAATTAGTCTTGGTTAAAGTTACTAAAGATAGTCTCAGTATCGGTGAACATTTACAAGTTACAAGCAGCGCAAATTTAATAGCGTTAATAAATCGTTTTGCGTAAGATTAATCGAACGAGTGTTCGTTCTTTCGATTAGTTTTATTTAAGGTTGTTAAGGAATCGTAGTAATTTTATCGATGAAATTGTAGAACTCGCGCGTTACAACTTTATCGCCATCCATTAATTATCGTTGTATAACATAGTAGCAAGTTTGATAACGAAGGAAATACGATCGTCTTTCTCCATGCAAAATATAGAATCTATCATTTTTAAAATATTGAAGAATGTAGAAGTGCTTTTCCGTTCTTACCGAATATAACAAAAAATTACTACTTTTATTACATTTTTTCCATTACATTTTTCACAAATCCTATCGAAATCCTAGGCGGAATGTCCTTTTCTTAATTGTATCCAGAAGACAAAATTGATGGAGTTCGATTTCCAAGTAACTCGATTGTCGTATAAAATTCGATTGTATTCGAACCGAACACTCCACTCAACATACGATAAGCAAAGAACGTTTCTCCGATATCACCTTCGTTCCATTTTGGCGAACCGTACTTTGCCGCGTCGAGGGATTGATTAAAACGCGGCTGATCTGTAACGAGGGAAGTAATACTTCCTCGTACGCGTAGCCCGTTCATTACGGTTCAGAGTTTATCGCTGGCGATCAGACCGGCGAAAAAGAGAAAGAGCAAAAGAGGGACGAAGAATAACGAAACGCTATTGTTGGCCGCTATATCGATCGACTCTCGGAGAAAGAAAGTCTCTCTAATCGGTGTATCATCGGCAGATGTCAGAAACGAAAGCACGCGTGTATACGCGTTTTCCCACGTCGTTCGTCGTGGGAGCACTCGAAACACGCCATTGTTCGATACGTGGATCGTTCGTTGCGCAATTCTTGCGGATCAGGGTTAACGTACCGACACGATTACGTTACCAGAATCCATCCGCAGGACGATCGATCGATCGATCATATACGTCGTGATCGATCGTGTTCCGGATTTTTTTGAGGTTCGGACACGATCCGTTTGTCCTTTTCGGTGCAAGGACCGACTACCTGGCCAGATAGGATGATTCAGTTGTTCTTCCTATCTAATCTGGCGAACGGAAGTTCCTTCGTACGATAGAGATTATTTTGTGCGCTTTGGAACCAAAGGCTCCCGGGAGATTACGCTGGAACGCAGAAATATTTGGGCATTTATCATAAAAAAACTTTTATGTCTATATCGTATGTGTCATAAAATGTTTTGAAATTTGGTTAGCATCGTAACGATACACCACTGTCACGATTATATTGACAGAATTTGGGATCAATTTGAAAATGTATATAAATGTTACGAGCTATTTATTGCGAAAATTAGTATGTTCAAGTACTCGTACTAGTTTCTTGATGGTATTTTTTAAACACACCAAAGCTTCCATCTGCAGTTGAAATTGTCGATTCTTTTCCCTTGTACTTCAAATTTTAATACGTGAAATCAAGCGTTACTTCCGGGAAACGAACGACCGTTATCTCCAGAAACTGTTTCGTATCAATTAAAAACTTCGCTTTTAAAGCTTGAAAGAGCGAACTGGTTAATTAATGGAAATGTATTTAGACCGATTCGCGTGGTCGATGCAAATTACGCGATTTCCTTCTTTTCTCTTTTCTATCATCGAATCGAAAACCGAACGCGCGTTACTCGATCTCAGGTAGAACTTTACGATCGTTTCTCGTTTACTTCTCCAACTTTCGATCCTCGGCTAACGATCCAGGGGAATCGTCGTTTGAATGTTCAACTAAGGGCACCGTGTGCAGTTAAGCGTCGCGAATGTCCAAGAATAGTTGGTTCAACGATAGGACCAAGTCAGGAGGCCAACAGGAGTTTACGTACCTTAGCAGACCGCACGCTTTCGGCGTTATACGGCCGCTGTAAATGTCTAAGAACTTTAGCTGTTTCGCTCGTGTCGCGTTCGTCCCCTTCCGGAACGCGGAATTATTGTCTCGCAACGAGCCTCGCGTTCGCGCCCGCGCGTCTCAAACTTCTGCGGAAATATATTATTTCAAGCCGCGCTGTATGCTCTAGAAAGCGTTATGTCTTCTGGTGCATTCAGGACTCTGTTGGCTCGCCGCAATGGAATATCCAGAACAACGAGAGAATTTTGTAAATTATCGAGCCAAATTACTGTCATTCGGTGGATGTTGATACGGTGACTGATTTTAAGAGAAATTTGCTAAATATTCGCAATGGTATTTGAGACTTTTTCAATTTATTTAATACCAATGTAGTATCGAAGTTCGTGTACTAGTTTGTCAGTTAAACAGAGCATGTTACACAGGTTTCTTGATAAATGCTATCAGCCGACAGAGTTCCCGAATTTAATAATTTCATTTCCGTTAGTACTGTCGCTCACATAACGATGCTATCTCGAGAGCATTTAGCAAAAGAATCTACGTTTGACTATCTAACGAAACGATCTAGTATCGCATCAAATACTCCACGTTCCATCGTCCCCGGGTTGATGCATATCGGTTCCTGAAACGCTGCAACGTCGAATCCGACAGCTGTCCATCCTGTTCCATCGTACAACACCTATCTATGTGTACCATCGCAAGAAGCCACAAACATCGCAAGACCTTTCATTCCTCTAATTCCCTCGAAACGTCCTTCCACAACAATTTCCACCATATATTTCCGTCTATGTTTGTCGAAACCTTAAAATTTGCTCTTTCTATCGCTCGAGGATGGACAAGAGTATACTAAATTAACACTGACTCCTATCAGTCAAATTTAAACTCCTTTCATTTTTCTAATATTTACAAAACAAACACTACGTCCTATTTTTTTAAATAAACCTGCTTCGTGAAATAATTGTATCGTTATCTCGTGCTGTTTATTATCATTTCCAGTACACGCGTTGCACAATCTTTTATTTCCGTAATCGTCGACTTCAGCTCTATTTCCGCAACAGTCGTTTCTATGATATTACTCTTACGGAAAATTGTCGTACGATTTTCAGAATCGATATCAAGCTTATTTGTACGATTCAGCTAATTATTCTACAAATATTTTGTCCTAAAACGATCCAGCCATCGGAACGCGAGCATTAACAAACTCAAAGACATATTTTCCATCCAACTGTGAACCACGTTTTTTCTCCCTCTTTTTCTTCCTGTTTTTTAGCCGTCACTCATCACGCACGAAATCCGCGCGTCGTTCACGGTACTCGTCCACTCGATCTTTCGCGAGATTTCACCGGTTTTTCTCCGACGTCCATTATCTCTCGCGACGTCCTCTCTTTTCCCCTCTCTGCTATCTCTCTCTCTCTCTCTCTCTTTCTCCCCTTTCCTCGTGAATCCGCCCTTACTCGAATTCGATCTCGTGTGTCCCGTTCCCTCGACGATCGGCTAAGTGATTCTCTTCTGTTCCTATCCGAACGATCGGCCGATTCTTGGCGAATGAATCTTACATGGTACGTCCGAATCAGGCCTGGATCTATATATCATTCTCGCTGTAAAACTGTACCAGATCTTCCCAGTCCTCTCCTCTCCTCTCCTACTCCTCGTTTCTTTCTATTTTAGAATGATTCCGTGCCAACTGCCGGATACGCTGCCGTCCACCGATATGGAACTATCCCGGTTTATTGGAGGTGGCGTATGCAGCCAAACATCTGGCTCACGCGAGATATATCGTCGGATCCAGCGAAGATTCCGCCGGATGTTTCACACCGGTTAGTTTTTAACTTGGTTGGCCAGGCTGTCATTGATTCTGAGATTGAGATCCTACGGACACGAAATTCCCAATTGGGATAGCTACACACGCTACCAGCCGTAAGAATATCAGCAGTTTTATTCGCAGACTTGTTTATTTATTGAAAAAGTTGAAGAAATTTTAGTCCGTTTAGCATTTTGTACGGCGAGGCACGTACGATGCGAATGGAATTGAAGGTTTACGATAAGAAAATTAGGAAATACCAACGAAATGAAAGTATGTTTTTCTAACGTGTGTTTCTACTTGCTCGTACGTTTCTTCTTCTTTCTTTTTTCGCATATTTGTTCCTATACACGTGTTCTTTTATCGCTTGATATATTCGTTTCTTTCATTCGTTCACACAGTTATTCTTCTTATGTCTGTCGTTTTACTTGTTTATATATTCTTTGTATATGAGTGTTCTCACATTTTGTAGGATTATTAACATACCAATTGATTAATAATCATCGAGATATGCGTTTCTCGGTAAATTTATTAGCGGAGCGTGTAATCTATGCAAACGAGGATTTCAGCTTTTAAAATCGAGTTTCTCCACTCGGATCGGTCTCGGTTCAGCAGTTTTCTTCATCCGTTGACATCCTTCGTGCAAGTGGCCAAAGTTTTAATAGAAAAGACGTTGCGAGATAAATTATATCGACCTACGTTTAGGATAATTAGGAGAGGAAGGTCGTGTATCGTGGCTGATACTCGCCTCCGTTATTCATTGATCTTAGCTTTTCCATCAATCTTCCTTTCGATTTGTATGCTCTATTTAGCCTCAATGATACATACTTGCAACGTTGCTGTCAGGTTTTGGCTTTACGAGAAGTCAAATTGAAATTCTTCTCCTACTTTTCCGCTTCCAATATCTTCAATTTAATTTTTATCGTTATTTTGGTCTTCTACGTTCAACTTTAAGAGCAGCAAAATTTTCATTCGGCTCTCTTAAATTTACAAATTTATTTTTGCCTTTTCCATACGAATTAGTCAAAAGCTCGATTAATAGACATTTTCTGTTACCTCAAACATAAAAAAATACTTTCGATTTTTTGAAATTAAAAACATTGCAAAGGAACCTATTTACCAGCAAAGCTGATAATTTTTACCAGTTTTCTCTGATCGGTCGTTTTGGCTATATCGAGTTTTTTTTAAATATAAAATAAATTCATCCCCAATCGCGAAACATC